GAGGAGATCTGTACTGGAGGGAGGAGATCTGTACTGGAGTGAGGAGATCTGTACTGGAGTGGGATTCTGTACTGATGGGGAGCAAGGGGGTCTGTACTGAAGGGAGGAGATCTGTACTGGAGGGGCGCATGGGCGCGGGGTATGGGCGTGGGGTATGGGCACAGGGTATGGGCGCAGGGCATGGGGCATAGGTGTGGGGGTATGGGCGCGGGGTATGGGCATGGGGAAAGGGCACGGGGTATGGGCACGGGGCATGGGTGTGGGGTATGGGTGTGGGGTATGGCCGCCAGCAGGGTGTGGGCTGACTGCTCGTTCTTGTCTCGGGGTGATAACAATGAAGATATACTTACCGAATCCACCGATCCTCAGAGAGCAAGACTGGTCCCTGCCGCTTCTGCCCCCCCCCCCCACTGCATGCTAGAGGTCTTGTGAATGGACTGTTCCTGACATCATCACACCCATAGACTGGTCCCTGCCGCTTCTGCCCCCCCCCCCCCCCCACTGCATGCTAGAGGTCTTGTGAATGGACTGTTGCTGACATCATCACGCCCATAGACCGGTCCCCCTGCCGTTTCTGCGCCCCCCCCCGCATGCTACAGGTCTTGTGAATGAACTGTTCCTGACATCATCACACCCATAGACTGGTCCCTGCCGCTTCTGCCCCCCCCCCACTGCATGCTAGAGGTCTTGTGAATGGACTGTTGCTGACATCATCACGCTCATAGACCGGTCCCTGCCATTTCTGCGCCCCCCGCCCCTCCCGCATGCTACAGGTCTTGTGAATGAACTGTTCCTGACATCATCACGCCCATAGACCGGTCTTTTCCATTTCTGCCTTCCCCTGCATGCTACAGGCCTTGTGAATGGATTGCTCCTGACATCATCATGCCCATAGCCCGGACCCTGCCACTTCTGTCCCCCCGCATGCTAGAGGTCTTGTGAATGGACTGTTGCTGATATCATCACGCCTATATAGACCGGTCCCTGTCACTTCTCCCCCCCCCCCCACATGCTAGAGGTCTTGTGAATGGACTGTTCCTGACACCATCACGACCATAGACCGGTCCCTGACACTTCTGCCACCCGCATGCTACAGGTCTTGTGAATGGACTGCTGCTGACATCATCATGCCCATAGACCAGTCCCTGATACTTCTGCCACCCCTCCCGCATGCTAGAGGTCTTGTGAATGGATTATTGCTGATATCACGCCCATAGACCGGTCCCTGCCACTTCTGCTGCCCCCCTTGCTTGCTAGAGGTCCTGTGAGTGGACTGTTGCTGACATCATCAAGCCCATAGACCAGTCCCTGCCACTTCTGCCCCCCCAACATGCTAGAGGTCTTGTGAATGGACTGTTGCTGACATCATTACGCCCATAGACCGGCTCCGAGCATGAGCACGGCAGGAACACTCCACTGCTGGACGTGGGGGAGCGCTGTTTTCCGGAGATCGGAGGATGAGGTAAGTATAGGTCTTCCCTAAAGCTCTGGACAAAACGAACACTTAACCCTTGAAGTGCAGTCACAGCCCCACTGCCTGGGAACATTACAGATTCACACGGAGTTCTGCTTTAAGCCGGCTATACACCAGAAGAAACTCGTTTGTAAGAAAATCAGACGATCTTTTCTTGCTGTCATTGAGAACTCATTTCATTCAAAAGCCCCTAAAATTTCCTTTGGACCGGCTGCGTGAATGGAATCCCGGACGTGTCACACGGGTGTCTTTGTGTCTGGAACATGAACATTGCAAACACAATACATTCCTCCAAAACGAAAACCACAGAAATCTGTTCGTTCAGGAAAATATTTCCATCTTGCTTCATCGGATTTTCTCATCACTTCAGTCGGAAACAAAAGGTGACCCCCCACTAACCATGAGAACAACGGACACACATTCCAGAAACTACATCTTTACTAGGGGGGTCACTTCTAGTCTCTCCTCCCACAGGGGATCAGACTGTACATTGTAATTTTGTAGCAAGGGTCTGATTTGTGTCAGACATTTGTGAATGCAGCCAAGTCTGTTAGTGGCTACAAAAATGTTTCCCTGTTTGTAAGATTTGCTCCTTCCCTGTGACACAAAAAGGGTTCAAAGAATTGGCTGCAATGCTTGGCTGCAGTGACCATACTGGGGGAGACCATGTCCAATGCTTGGATATGGAGTGTCTTCAATCCTGGGGGGGCGGTCATTGTGGATCAGCCAATACGTATGCTTGATGGATTGTGATTGGTTGATGGAGGGCACAGAGGAAGGAGATATGGACTACTGTGCATCCTGGGACAACAAGAGCATGCTGGGAGGAAGCGAGACTTGTGGGAGATGTAGTCCTTAGGCAGACTGAGCCTGTGAATCAGATCAAGCTACAAATCCCAGCATGACCGGGGCTCTGAGCAGAAAGAAGGTCTAATCCCGGGCAGATGAGGACATTGTGAGGGACAGACAGTGCACCTGAGGGACCCAGAGAGGCGGGGGTACATGAGATGGTGCCACCACCTGATTGTTGGGGAGGAAGCCACTGTCACTGACTTGTGCCACCACCTGATTGTTGGGGAGGAAGCCACTGTCACTGACTGGTGCCACCACCTGATTGTTGGGGAGGAAGCCACTGTCACTGACTGATTCCACCACCTGATTGTTGAGGAGGAAGCCACTGTCACTGACTGGTGCCACCACCTGATTGTTGAGGAGGAAGCCACTGTCACTGACTGGTGCCACCACCTGATTGCTGGGGAGGACGCCCTCTGTCACTGACTGGTGCCACCACCTGATTGTTGGGGAGGAAGTCACTGTCACTGACTGGTGCCACCACCTGATTGTTGGGGAGGAAGCCACTGTCACTGACTGGTGCCACCACCTGATTGTTGGGGAGAAAGCCACTGTCACTGACTGGTGCCACCACCTGATTGTTGAGGAGGAAGCCACTGTCACTGACTTGTGCCACCACCTGATTGTTGGGGAGGAAGCCACTGTCACTGACTGATTCCACCACCTGATTGTTGAGGAGGAAGCCACTGTCACTGACTGGTGCCACCACCTGATTGCTGGGGAGGACGCCTCTGTCACTGACTGGTGCCACCACCTGATTGTTGGGGAGGAAGCCACTGTCACTGACTGGTGCCACCACCTGATTGTTGGGGAGGAAGCCACTGTCACTGACTGGTACCACCACCTGATTGTTGGGGAGGAAGCCACTGTCACTGACTGGTGCCACCACCTGATTGTTGAGGAGGAAGCCACTGTCACTGACTGGTGCCACCACCTGATTGTTGAGGAGGAAGCCACTGTCACTGACTGGTGCCACCACCTGATTGCTGGGGAGGACGCCTCTGTCACTGACTGGTGCCACCACCTGATTGTTGGGGAGGAAGTCACTGTCACTGACTGGTGCCACCACCTGATTGTTTGGGGAGGAAGCCACTGTCACTGACTGGTGCCACCACCTGATTGTTGGGGAGAAAGCCACTGTCACTGACTGGTGCCACCACCTGATTGTTGGGGAGAAAGCCACTGTCACTGACTGGTGCCACCACCTGATTGTTGGGGAGGAAGCCACTGTCACTGACTGGTGCCACCACCTGATTGTTGGGGAGAAAGCCACTGTCACTGACTTGTGCCACCACCTGATTGTTGGGGAGGAAGCCACTGTCACTGACTGATTCCACCACCTGATTGTTGAGGAGGAAGCCACTGTCACTGACTGGTGCCACCACCTGATTGCTGGGGAGGACGCCTCTGTCACTGACTGGTGCCACCACCTGATTGTTGGGGAGGAAGCCACTGTCACTGACTGGTGCCACCACCTGATTGTTGAGGAGGAAGCCACTGTCACTGACTGGTACCACCACCTGATTGTTGGGGAGGAAGCCACTGTCACTGACTGGTGCCACCACCTGATTGTTGAGGAGGAAGCCACTGTCACTGACTGGTGCCACCACCTGATTGTTGGGGAGGAAGCCACTGTCACTGACTGGTGCCACCACCTGATTGTTGGGGAGGAAGCCACTGTCACTGACTGGTGCTGTCACCTGGGGAGAATGATACTGCCGCAGACTTCTCAGAGCCACTGAAGGAGAACAGAGCAAGACCCCAGGATTTGGTGAGGGGCCTTTGGCCACAGCGCAGTCACCTATAACTGGGTTAGAAGGAATGTTATCTGAGTGCTCCAACGTTGAATGTGGGCCCCAACATACTGCCATTAGGTACGGGTCTGACAGACTGTTGGACATTGTCATAGCTTCGCCCCCTAGACAGGGTATTCCCCAGGGAAGAGGTCATTTACTGATCTGCCTATTTAATACCAATTGTACACGAAATCTACAACTGTTACCATGCAGGAAGTCTTTATTGTCACTTTCCATTCATTGGCTGTTGAATTATCATGTTTTGCTGCAATAATTATTCCCTCCCAGCCTTGGTGTGTCAAAGGGTGTGGAATGGTCAGGAAGTTCTTTGAGAGCCCAGAACCAGGAGACCGAAGCATCTGTGGTGCCTTTAGGGGTAAGCAGAACACTCTGAGCCGGCATCTCAGTCCAGGAAGTAGATGATACCTGAACAAAGATGGCGCTGTCCTTCTGGAGGGAAAAGCAGATGAAGACATTGTTGGGGGAACACTGTGTAAGAGGATGTAAATATCTGGTTTACACTGACACATTACTGAGCAGAAAATACACTACATTGGAAAATATATTGGGACCGTCCTCCAAATCATGTGATTCAGGTGTTCTAATCCCCTCCCAATCATGTGATTCAGGTGTTCCAATCCCCTCCATATCATGTGATTCAGGTGTTGCAATCCCTTCCATATCATGTGATTCAGGTGTTCCAATCCCCTCCATATCATGTGATTCAGGTGTTCCAATCCCCTCCCAATCATGTGATTCAGGTGTTCCAATCCCCTCCATATCATGTGATTCAGGTGCCCCAATCCCCTCCATATCATGTGATTCAGGTTTTCCAATCCCCTCCATGGACACAGGTGTATACAATCAAGCCCCTAGGCATGCAGACTGCTTCTACAAACATTGGTGAAAGAATGGGTCGCTCTCAGGAGCTCAGTGACTTCAAGCGTGGTCCCGTGATAGGTGGCCACCTAGGCAATAAGTCCATCTGTGACATTTCCTGGCTACTAAATATTCCACGCTCAACTGTTAGTGGGATTATAACAAAGTGGAAGCAACTGGGAACAACAGCCACTCAGCCACCAAGTGGTAGGCCACATCACATGACAGGGCGGGGTCAGCGCATGCTGAAGCACACAGTGCGCAGAAGTCACCAACTGTCTGCAGAGTCAATAGCTAAAGACCTCCAAACTTGGTGTGGCCTTCAGATGAGCCCAACAACAGTGCGTAGAGAGCTTCATGGAATGGGTTTCCATGGCCGAGCAGCTGCATCCAAGCCTTCCATCACCAAGTGCAATGCAAAGTGTCAGATGCCGTGGTGTAAAGCACGCCACCACTGGACTCTAGAGCAGAGGAGGCGTGTTCTCTGGAGCGACCAATCACGCTTCTCTGTGTGGCCATCTGATGGATGTGTCTGGGTTTGGCAGTTGCCTGGTGAACGGTACTTACCTGACTGCCTTGTGCCAAGTGTAGAGTTTGGGGGAGGGGGGATTATGGTGTGGGGTTGTTCCTCAGGGGTTGGGCTTGGCCCCCTAGTTCCAGTGAAGGGAACTCTTAAGGCGACATTTTGGAAAATTTCATGCCCCCAACTTTGTGGGAGGAGTTTGGGAATGGCCCCTTCCTGTTCCAACATGACTGCCCACCAGTGCACAAAGCAAGGTCCATAAAGACATGGAGGAGCCAGTTTGGGGTGGAGGAACTTGACTGTCCTGCACAGAGTCCTGACCTCAACCCCATAGAACACCTTTGGGATGAATTAGAGTGGAGACTGCAAGCCAGGCCTCCTCCCCCGACATCAGTGCCTGACCTGACAAATGTGCTTCTGGAAGAATGGTCCAACCTTCCCATAGACACCCTCCTAAACCTTGTGGACGGCCTTCCCAGAAGAGCTGAAGCTGTTATAGCTGCAAAGGGCGGGGCCAACTCAATATTGAACCCTACGGACTAAGACTGGGGGGCCATTAAAGGTCATGTGTGTGGAAAGAGCGGGGCCAACTCAATATTGAACCCTACGAACTAAGACTGGGAGGCCATTAAAGGTCATGTGCGTGGAAAGGGCGGGGCCAACTCAATATTGAACCCTACGGACTAAGACTGGGGGGCCATCAAAGGTCATGTGTGTGGAAAGGGGTGGGGACAACTCAATATTGAACCCTACGGACTAAGACTGGGGGGCCATTAAAGGTCATGTGTGTGGAAAGGGTGGGGCCAACTCAATATTGAACCCTACGGACTAAGACTGGGGGGCCATTAAAGGTCATGTGTGTGGAAAGGGGCGGGGACAACTCAATATTGAACAATACGGACTAAGACTGGGGGGCCATTAAAGGTCATGTGTGTGGAAAGGGTGGGGCCAACTCAATATTGAACCCTACGGACTAAGACTGGGGGGCCATTAAAGGTCATGTGCGTGGAAAGGCAGGCGGCCCGATACTTGAGGCAATATAATGTTGGATACTGCTGGGACCACTCTAATGACACTTCCTATTGAATGCTGATCTCACTATCTTCTGGGCACTGGTAGAGTTCACCTGAATTCTCTGTGTATCAGATTCACTTTACAGAAATTTTAAACTGCTTATTTTCTGGAGGAAGTCATCTCTCTGGGTGTCAAAGTTATGGACACACCCGGAACACATCATCCAATAACCGGAACACGGCACAGATTGGCTGGGTAATCCTGCACAGTTTCTGTATAATTAGACGGAGTTTACAAGATTTCCTCTTCCTGTCTGTATCTGATGATGAATATTCCTCCAGCTTTCAGTTCATCAGCAGAATACAAACCAATCCACCGAGAAGGAACATTTGTTATCAATAAGTGCAGCACTCACTTCGCTCCTTCAATGGAGCCGAACAAAAACAAGTAAGAAAATGTAGACATTCATTCTTTCCTTTTTTACTGCCGTCCCACAAGAGCTCTCCTAGGATCCACGCTGAAGCCAAATTCAATTCTGCATTTATTTTAATTGCCCCCCAGGGGGTATATGCCATAATATATATATACTAGTAACACTTGTTTGCAGGGAAAGTTCTCCCAAACTGCTCTCCTCCGGCACCCCACCAGTCGAGGAAGATGGTATACAGTCGCCTTTCCTGTGTCACCAAACATCGCTCCGAACCGGAGAAGTCTGCCAGAAAACCGCCATTTCTGGAAGCGTCCATCTCCTGGGTCTCCCGCGGCTCTCATTGGTTCCTCCCACCGACCTCCACCCATTACAGGAACCCCAGGACAGGAACTGAGCAAAAAATCTCCACCAGGGACACAGACAGCAATAAAACTAGTCAATGAGGAAATCACTGGCCAAACCTCCATGATCCATATTACTGTGTTTTTTGTTCCCCGTGGTTCCTCTCTTGTGGAATGTTGTCACTGGAACAGGAAGTGAGGGGAATTCTCTGCCCCCAAATTCTTACCCTTTCCACTCTATCCAAAACTAAAAAGAAATGTTGGCCGGAGTTACGCTTGAACCCCCTGTATGTACAGTGAAGGAAATGTGTATTTGCCCCCCCTGATGCTGAATGTTCGCCCCTCACACAGAAACGATCGGTCTAACAATGGAATGTTTGCCCCTCACACAGAAACGATCGGTCTAAAAATGGAATGTTCGCCCCTCACACAGAAACGATCGGTCTAACAATGGAATGTTCGCCCCTCACACAGAAACGATCGGTCTAACAATGGAATGTTCGCCCCTCACACAGAAACGATCGGTCTAACAATGGAATGTTCACCCCTCACACAGAAACGATCGGTCTAACAATGGAATGTTCGCCCCTCACACAGAAATGATCGGTCTAACAATGGAATGTTCCCCCTCACACAGAAATGATCGGTCTAACAATGGAATGTTCGCCCCTCACACAGAAACGATCGGTCTAACAATGGAATGTTTGCCCCTCACACAGAAATGATCGGTCTAACAATGGAATGTTCCCCCTCACACAGAAACGATCGGTCTAACAATGGAATGTTCGCCCCTCACACAGAAATGATCGGTCTAACAATGGAATGTTCGCCCCTCACACAGAAATGATCGGTCTAACAATGGAATGTTCGCCCCTCGCACAGAAATGATCGGTCTAACAATGGAATGTTCGGTGTAACACTGAGAGACAGAATACAACAACAAATTCAGCAGAAATGCGTCTAACAAATGATGACTGATCTGCATGTTCATGAGGGAAAGAAGGATTGGATTCCCTTCACAAAACATGACGTAGTACTTGGTGGCCAATCCCTTGTTGGCAATCACAGAGGTCAGACGTTTGCTGGAGTTGGCCCCCAGGTTCGCACACATCTCAGGAGGGATTTTGGCCCACTCCTCTTGGCAGATCCTCTCCAAGTCATTGAGGTTTGGTGGCTGACATTTGGCAACTCGAACTTTCAGCTCCTCCACAGATTTTCCATCGGATGAAGGTCTGGAGACTGGCTAGGCCACTCCAGGACCTTAATGTGCTTCTTCTTGAGCCGCTCCTTTGTTGCCTTGGCCGTGTGTTTTGGGTCATTGTCATGCTGGAACACCCATCCACCACCCATTTTCAATGCCCTGGCTGAGGGAAGAAGGTTCTCACCCAAGATTTGAGGGTACATTGCCCCGTCCATCGTCCCTTTGATGCGGTGCAGTTGTCCTGCCCCCTTAGCAGAAAAACACCCCAAAGCAGAATGTTTCCACCACCATGTTTCACAGTTGGGATGGTGTTCTTGGGGTCATAGGCAGCATTCCTCCTCCTCCAAACATGGCGAGTTGAGTTGATGCCAAAGAGCTGGATTTTGGTCTCCTCTGACCACAACACTTCCCACCAGTCCTCCTCTGCATCATTCAGATGTTCAGTGGCAGACTTCAGATGGGCCTGGACATGTGCTTTCTTGAGCAGAGGGACCTTGCGGCACTGCAGGATTTCAGTCCTTGTCGGCGTAGTGTGTTACCAATTGTTTTCTTGGTGACTGTGGTCCCAGCTGCCTGGAGATCATTGACCAGATCCTCACGTGTAGTTCTGGGATGATTCCTCACTGTTCTCATGATCATTGACACTCCACGAGGTGAGATCTTGCATGGTGCACCAGACCTAGGGAGACTGACACTTGTTTTGTGTTTCTTCCATTTGTGAATGATTGCACCAACTGTTGTCACCTTCTCACCAAGCTGCTTGGCCATAGTTTGGTAGCCCAGTCCAGCCTTGTGTAGGTCTACCATCTTGTCCCTGACATCCTTGGACAGCTCTTTGGTCTTTGCCATGGTGGAGAGTTTGGAATCTGATGGTTTGATGGCTCCTGTGGACAGGTGTCTTTTATAGAGGAAACACCATGAGATTAGCAGCACTCCCTTTAAGAGACTGCTTCTAATCTCAGCTTGTTACCTGTATGAGAGACACCTGGGAGCCAGAAATCCTGCTGATTGATAGGGGATCAAATCCTTCTTTCCCTCATGAACATGCAGATCAGTCATCATTTGTTAGACGCATTTCTGCTGAATTTGTTGTTGTATTCTGTCTCTCAGTGTTACAATACAATACATCAGCAGGGGAGCAAATATGCATTTCCTTTACTGTAATTCCGCCCCCCTCACTGTATGGGCTGGTCCAGCCCCCCTTGCACATGCCCCTGCCATGTTACCAGGCTTCATGCACTCATTGGTGGACCAGGGACCAGCATGGAGGGTGCCTGTGGGTAGAGCGGAGGGAGATCAGCGAATGTCCAATCCTTGATCTCCACTTCCTGTTGATGACCTGGAAGTAAGTGATGTGTAAAGCGTCACTTCCAGGTCTTGGTGTCACTTCCCCAGCCAGTATGGCCATGGAAGAAGCTAATGGAGCACAATCTGCACTGCATTAGCTTCTCTGGCAGGCTGGGGAGACATATAATAGACCTCTAAAGTCTCATTAAGGGGAACCTGTTAGCAAAAAAATAATCACATAGGGAGGGAGGAGAGGCAGGCCAGGGTCCCGTAAACCACACCTCCCCCCCATAGGTGACAAGCTGCAAGTCCCCCTCCCCCGGAGGTGCCAGGATGTACTATCTGGTCTGTGGAGGCGTTGTCTTCCATGAGGCCACTCCCTGGAGGAGGGAGGTTGGGGTCCGCTGCCCTATGTAATGAAAAATAAAGTTTAGTAAAAACATTTTTTTTTAAGTGTACACCCAAGTACTTAACTCCGCCCCTCTCAAAAAAATGTTTTGAGCCCAACAATACATGTACGTAGGAGCGTAAATACATGCATGGGTGGGGGTCATCAATTGCACTACACGTTACATATCGCCCCCACGCCGGAGTGAGAGCAGCAATCCTCTCCCATTATTCACACTTCAGTCTAAGCTGGTGACCTGGAGGGGCTTTTAAAGCATCACCTATGGAAAGTATAGGGGCCCGAAGTT